CCAACTCGCATCTGAGGGTTTGATCTCTAACAAGCTTCCTGTTCCTAAAGATACACAGCCATACATAAAAACCATCCTTCCTCTCATACATGTCTTTTGCATTCCCCTCCCTGCTGTCTCCTCCTGTGCAGCCCCATCTCTCCACTCAGAACCTAGGACTTCCCCATCTCTTCTAGAGCTGATTTCCTTCACTGCCTCTTGTCTCTCATCTAGGACCAGAGACTCTCTTAGGTCCACCTCTCCCCTACCTCTCTTCCTGGGAAGTGTTCTTTCTCATCTGCCAGGACGTGGAGTTGACTTTCGTCTGCTCCTGAGACTGCTGTCCTTGTGGTCTTTTCCTGGCACCTCACATCTTCCTCATCATCCTGCTTCCAAGGGCCACAATAACTCCACTGAGCCTGTGATGACTCTGTGCTGCTAATGCGGAGAGGTTCCATCATCTGGGTTACCTGCAACACAGAGATTTATTGCTTCACATTGTGAAGGCAAAAGGAAGAAGAAATAAGCAGCACAGATGCTATTTTTGTTTTCACTCACGAACGCCTTTCCATTTTTAGGAATCCTTGCAAAATATTCTGATGAAGCCCTGTGTTATTCTTAACAGTGTCAGTTCACTGACATCTCTGTGCTTTAGGGTGAGCTGTGTTTTGGCAAAGCAGCTGCCTGGTTGCAGTGCCAGCTTTAAATGGGAGGAAGGGCGAGTCTTGGGACAGACAGCAACTGAACTCGGGGCATCTGTGTGTGGGGATGGTGGAGGCCCTAAAAGCCCTAATGTTTCATGAGGGCCTGAACTATGATGCCCACTTTCCTGTCATCCAAACAGCCCTACCTCTGAGAAGAACTGGAGAAGACTGTCCTCTTCACATGGCCTCTCTGCCTTTTGGTAGTCTTCACTGTCATCCCCCCAGAGAGGCTCACTGAACTCCAGCTCATGGTCTGCCTCTCGGCTGCTCTCTTCTAGCTTCCCCACAGCCACCTCTTCAGTATTCCTCCAGCTCCCCATGTCCAAATCCAAGCTTGAATCCCAGCTGAGAAGTGACTGGAAGTCACTGCTCTTCTCTGACTCGCTGGGAGGCTCCGTCTCAGACTCCCACCACTCCCAGGCATGGCCCATCTGCAAACAAACATAAAGAGAGAGACAGCAATTTCTTTGTACCCTGATCCAGAACTGCAGATCAACTGCAGATCCAGCTCATTTCATGACAAACTAGAGAGCCGAAGCATGGGAAGGACTCCATGAGGCGAGAGCAGCCTACACCTGAGGCCACACTGCCATTTCAGAGCAACTGAATTTCAGGTTTTCTGTTGCTTTTGCTGTGCTGCCCAGGGGTTGGTGGGTTACTGTGCTCAGGGGATGCTGAGCTGGTTGGGAGCACGTGGCTCTGTCGCGCACTAGATGTTTAAGGTGCCAACGGCAGCCAGCAGCAAGCTCAAAACCAAGTCACGCCGGGGCAACGGAGCTACTGACAAACGAGTGAAAATCTAGTGACTCTGAGGACAACTCACTGAAATTCCTTTTGCTGTCCCATGAGAACTTTTTATAGTGGAAATAACTAACACCACAGAAACTTTGTTTTCAAAGTGACAGATGTTATTTAACTGGATGGTGATATATTGTCTATCATCTGAGCCAGAAGAATTATAACCATGCACAGTCACACACCAATGGGGTACAGTTCTACGCATTTGAGAAAATAAAAGTTAGCGTTCTCTTAAGAAGGAAGAAACCATTCATTTCATCTCTGTTCATTAGTCCATGCCTAAGTGTCTTCTGCTGCATGAGTCCACTATGATTTCTCTAAGTCTGGGGAATTGCTTAGTCACAGTAACAAAGTAAATGGCTGTTAGAAAAATCTGTATCTTGCTGCTGAACTCAGCTGCCTGGACGCTGTACCTATGGAGAATTCTATGCATTAATTAGCAGCGTCTTTAGAGTTTTCAGTTAATTATGTACAACCTAATTTTTCCAGAATTTTGAACAAGCACATTTCTCGCTGACTTCCTTTTGCACTCTCAGGACTGCTAGCACAGCTACAAATAAAGCTTACGCTGCATACCTGGGAGAAATAAGGAATCTGTTGGGTTTGGGATTAGAAAACTTGTTTGCTTATTTTATGATCTTACAAGCAGAGCTAGGATCCGAAAGGCCGTCCTTCTGAAACCTCTTTCAAAGTTAACTTCAGCAGAAGCAGATAAAATTTGATGAGGTAAGAGATAACATTACCTGCTCTCTGCTTCCAGCAAAAGGAGTTGGGCAAAGTGTGATTTCATCTGAAGAGGAACCCCACACCTAAAACGCTTTCCTGCACCATCAGCAGAGCTGGCTGCACACGCAGAACCAGCCACCACAGCTCAGCTGAAGAACAGAAAAGCCTTAGCCTGGGGTAATCCAATCACTCGTGATCATCCTTCCGTACTCCAGTTGAGAAGGATGAGCATTTTAAAATCAGGAAGCCCAGGGAACTTGGGTATAAGCACCGATTAAAAAGATCTTTGGCCTTATGTTCAGTTTGACTAAATCTTGGAAGACTCAAGACACCAGAACAGCAGCATTAGCGCAAGACAAGCAGGATGAGTGAAATAATTACAGACTGCTTAGTTCCATACCAATTCTCTACGAAAAATAAGGGACAAAAAGATACAGACTTCGACTTTTAATTAAGAACTGAGAGTTTTTAATTATGTTGGCTACATAAGTCACCAGCAAGGAATCATTATCAAATTGGAAAGTTTTAGTTCACTTTGCAGAGATCAGATGCTGCGCAACCCTTGCCGATATGAGAAAAAGCAGTTAGAAATAAAAAAGACGGCCTTTAAAAAGGAACTTACATGTCAAAACAAGAAAAATGATAAAAGCCTGAACTCTAGTAAATGAAATGTAGAATCCACAAAAAAGTAGGGGAAAAAAAAAAATTGAAGAACAATTTGCTAAAGACATAAAAGCAAACAACAACAAACCTCATCAAAAACATCAGGAGAGAGCTGCCAGATGATCAGTGGGGATGACGCATGATCAGTGCCAAACATCTCAGAGGAAAATAGGGCCAGTTGGAAAAACCAAATTAATCATCATTATCAGCAGTTGCCACACAGGAGATAGCACAGGACTTTCTCTTGGGATGGGTCTGAGAGACTGTTTCTAATTAAAATGTCAACAGGGGAGGTTTTACAACAATTTGAAGGAGGGAGTAAACCTTAGAACCAGTTGAGATTCACTTGTGAGTCCAAAAGAAGCTTAAATATAACATGACCAAACCTATGCCGTGTAACCTGTCATTTAAATTAGCCACAGCACAAGAAAAACAGAAAGATGCGATTGTTTTATCTGTCTGTAAAAGGGTGGATGTTGGGAGATGCAGCACGGTAAGCCTGAGCTCTGCACTAGGCAGATTAGAAAAAGTATTAGGAAGAATAGAATTAGTAGTCAGAGCACAAGATGAATTGGGAAAGAGGGAATGGAGCGCTGCGGAGGAAAATCCTATCTTAGATTTTTACAGATCTTAAACAGCATTAAAGGCTATTAAAATGTCACAGGACAACAGAAAAGGCTCTTTGAGGGAAAAATACCTGGTTAAGAGAAGAAATCAAGGGTAGGAATGAACAGCATTGCTTTCCATAACGAAAGCAAGTTACTAGTGGGCATGGTAAAGGTTCTCCCACATGCCGCAACTTCAGTTTTTCAACACAGGCAAAGATGGGGCAGTGTTACAGAGGACACAGAGCCAGACTTTTCTGTAGCCAGCAGCGAAAGGAGAAGAGGCAGTGATGACAAGCTGCACCAAAGGAAATTCAGACTGGACAGAAGGTAAATGTTCACTCCATGAAGGTGGGCAAGCACTGAAACAAGCTGTCCAGAGAGGTCAGGGGTTAGGGAATCTCCATTCTTGGGAAATTTTCAACACTTGACTAGGCAATGCTCTAAGCAACCCCATCTACCTCTGAAGCCAGCCCTGCTTTGAGCACCAGGCTGGACTAGATAAGTGCTCAGAGGTCCCTTCCAACTTAAATTATTCCATAAAATACCAGAAACCTGTAACTTTGTGCAATGAACTTAACCTGTAATCTCTGGAAACTGAGGCCATAAAAATTCAAATCAGAAATTTGTTCCCAATTTCAGTAGTGAAGGAAAATCAACCAGTAAGCAAACCAAAGGATTCTACATTTCTAGCACCAAACGTAGAGTGACTCTTGGTAGAAGTATACCTCAGCCAAGCATGGGACTCAACACATCAGGCATGACTAATTTCAACACTTGTGAAGATCAAGGTAAGGTAACAATCCCTCTGGTCTTAATCGCAATGACTCAGTTTCCTGCAACTTGTGTGTCAAAAAGCTGCACCCTTGTACTGTACACTCCCAGCTGCTGCAAACATCAGGAAGGGTTTTTTTGTTTGGTGTTTTTTTTTTTTTCCCTTTGGAAGGTCATGGGGGCAAAAAATATGCAAGTTTCATCTCACAAGTTGTATGAGCAGAAAATAAGGTGACTTGAAAAGTGTCACAGAGAACATAAACCTCAGTTAAGCATCCATTTCCAGTAGAAACAGTTCACAATCTCAGATGTGAAGCCAGGTACTGGCATGCCTACAGCTGCTGGATCATAGATTTTCACTGACTTTACAGTCATTTTCACCCTTTACAGATCACTGGGGAAAGCATGTAAGGTTCATTTCAATACAGCGGTCTCTTAAGGAAAGCTCCAACAAGACTGTGGTAATTAACTTCCCATGGTTAGATCTTCTGTTTAACCACAACAGCGCCATATTCTCACACACGCAAGCAGGGAATCTTTCCCTCCATCCACACACTATGCAACATTCCCACGATTAACAGATTATCTGTAATGTCAAAGCTCTGCCGTGCTTGTGTGCTGTATGGATAACTGGAAGAGAGTTGCATTTGCAGATATTCAAGACAGGTATGCACGCTTGTACAAAGACAGCGTTCCTCACTGCAGAGAGCTGTGATGCTCAGTACACTGCACACCACACACTGGATTTGTTCCCAGACTTTAATATACATACACATTTACACATCACTAGTAAAAATCTGTACACTTCACATTACAGTACATACGAGCCACCAGTTGCTAGCTAACACCAGAACACTGATGAAGCCCAAGACGACTGCCCTAAAACAGGCAGGGGGGGCTAGTCTTCCCCTCCGGGGAAGTTTCTTTGGGTTACACATTCTGACGAGACATTGCTTTCCAGAGGGGCAAGCGAAGAAGGTGGGCCAGGTCCCAGAAACGGACCTCCAGCCTTTCTTCCTCTTCCAACAGCTGTTAACAGCATCTTGCTTGCACTCCAGCTCTGGATGCCAGGTGCTGGGATTTTCTGTCTGCCTGCAGCATCATTTCTTCATCTTCATGTCTGCCTCGATGGCACAGCGACGCCCTCTGGTGCCTCCGTCCTAGTTGCAAGGCAAACAAAAAGAGAGAGTTATGCAACCCTAAACGCAAAACACTTCCTCCAGCACTCGGGGAGGTAGGAACTGTGCATCTGGTAACAACTTTTCATGCCTTCCGAACAGGAGAAAGGGAAGCTATCCTAAGAAGGCTGGGGGAGGCCTGCCTGCAGACCTACCCAAAATTCACTCTGGACACAGCAGGGGTGCTGGGATTTGCAGCATCTCTGTGCACTACTGGCAGCCAGGGCAGAGAGAGGCAACAAGGCTCTCGCCCAGACAGATGCTTTTGGAGCCTGTACAGTGCAGGCTTTCTCCTAAGCGGCAGATTCTAGCTTGGCTCTTAAGATGGGAAGAGGAAACTGCTGACTAACCTACCTTATCAGCTGCTGATCCCTACGGGAAGTGCTCCTCCGGTTGAGTGACCCTGGCACTAGCTCCCTAGTTTCTCCGCACAGCTCCTTTCCATGAGTAGAAGGCGAGCTGAGAGCTTCCTTTGATCCGCTGCCCTCTCCCTCTGGCTGACATGCTGACTCTCCCGGAGTACTCCTCTGTCTTTAGATATATGCGAGAGAAAAAAACAACTCTCCATCTTCCTCCCCTCTCTCCTCCCCACAACTCAGAGACTTGGGGTTTCCCAGAGGGAATATTTTTCCAAACACTTCCAGATCACCACAGGCACAGAGCAAGGTATTTCTGCGGCGTATCTTATTTGCTTTCTGGACCATGAATGATAAAGCAGTACACAGCTGACTCCTCACTTTCTCAAGACCTTTTGTACTGTCTCAAACGTGCGGAAGGGGCAGCTGTATAAGCATGAGAGATGTAGGAACTACAGTACTGCACCACTTGGTCTGTCTTCCCACTTACATGGAAAGAAAGCAGGAGAGAAGTTGTGGAAAAAAGCAAAGGCAGATGACAAAACAAAAACACTTGGAACCAGAAGAAAAGACTGAAGCCCCTCCCGCTCACCCACGCTGAGAATAAGGGACTGAGATGTTTCTTCTCTAACATTCACGGTTGTACAGCCCCTAAGTTAAACACACACCGCTGCAATGCTAAGGATGCTGTGACAGCGCAGTGATCACCCAGACAAGGAGCAGAGCACACTGCCAGCAGTACCGCAGTACCTGCTGGAGCCTTTCAATACTTACAAAGAGAGAGAGAAGGAAGGCAGGAGAGCCCATTGGGACACTGTCCTGTTAAAAGGCCAAACAGAAGGACTTATCAGATATCAGATACGGAAATGCACACACCACATAGAAGCACTGAGCCCACACACGAGCGTAGAGAAACATGTGCCCCACTTCCCTTCCCGCATGGCATCAGTCTTACGCAGCAGGAACACAAAAACAGACAAAAGAGGGATACTGCAAGAGTCAGAATGCTAGGAAAGGGATATTCCCTCCTCAGCCGTGGCAAGGCCTGGCCTACCAAACAATCTCTGCACTGTGCAGTTGCCACTAGAACTAAGCAGGCAGTCCTTGCTGTCACAATGTTGTGTGCACCAGCTGAGAGCACTTGAGATCACTTAATCAGGTCTGGATGTGTCTTTACAGAAGGAAAAAGGAAATCTACACTGCTATTAGTTCAGATCAGTGTGGAAGTCAAAGGTTTTCTGGTGTGTTTTACACAGCAAACCAGACGGGAGTGATTCCCTGGTTCTAAAAATCTGAGTAGGAAGTGAAGAACATGGCACAGGCTAGTCTTCCAATTCTCTACACCTGCCTGCCATACCATGCCTCTTCCAATACTCTGTTCATTTCCCCACAGTTTTCATCACTTGTCTTTAAAAACAGGGAACAGAAGTATTGGGATTACAGAAATAATTCTTAAGACCTGCCTCTGGGATGCTGTACAGCTCCAGAGCTAAAATCTCATTGATCACTGGAAGAAAAATTTGTTCACATGAAGGTGCTGGAGCCACTGCAACCTCAGAAAACATTCTGCCTATCTTTGGTATGGGAACTTCATGCAGTACCGTGGGATTCTCCAAAAGATACCAAGCGCTGTTCCACAGAGTGCAGCATTCTCACCTTCTCTGAAGCATCTTGCTTGCGAGTGGAGTCTCGCCCACGCAGGCTCTTTGCACTGATCCCTGACTCCGATGTTTGCATGATCAGTTGTGTGGCCAGAAATTGCTGCAAGAAAACCACTCTGTTAAGATTCTCAAACAAAACAAGCTCAGTTAGTGCACGTCAGTTAACTATCACAAACCACGGGCAGGGAATGAGTGGGTCAGAAGCAGTTTCAGTTCCTTGTCTGCTGCTCAGAATAAGTTCCTCCATTTACCTCAGAAGCCACAAGTCCTGAGGAACTATAAAACCCCAGTTCAAATTTTGTTAGCCCTGCCAGTTGAGAGACTCTATTTCACAAGAAATTCTAAATGGCATATATTCACAGGACACAGTTTTATGTACACTTTAAACCAGCGTAAACCAGCACAGCCACCAAAAGAAGCAATCGCGTCCCTTGTCATTCACCGTTCTCATTGCTTGTTTCTGTTCCTGAACCACACCCTGGTTCTTGCTGGCCTAAGCATTTCCCTGAAGGAAATTAGATCTGAAATTGGTCTGGGCTGATCCTAAAAAAATATTTTGCTGTGTTAGTTTTATATTATCCACAATCTAGTTCACCGCAAACACCTGAGGCAGAGCAAGAGAGATGCAGGGAAAGATGGGACTACTTCACTGTAAGAGAAACTGTGGTCTTACATCCAGAAGTCTTTCCTATACCTATGGACCAAGGCAGATGCTCTGTCCTGCACTGGCCTCAGTCAGTACTTTACCTGGATCTGCTCCAATACATCTCGCTGCATCTCCACCGCCATGTGGTACACGTCGTGGTCAGAGCTGTTGTACATAACTGCATTTTGAAACATCAGCATAATATCACGCTGGAACTCAGCTGTGGTTCGTATCAGCCCATTCTCAATGTTCTTTTTGATGGTAGATAAATCCATTGGCCTATGAAAGAAATGCAGTCAAAATAGCAACAGAAGTATTCCCCTCGTTCCCCTCTCTTTTGCGAACAGCCCTGGGTCTGTGATGCGTCTAGTTAGACCACCCATTTAATTTAGCCAAACAGATTCTCCCCCATACAGGCTGTGTTCCCAAGTACCAAGGCCTTGGGTCAGAAGACACAAGCTGTCCAACAGCTACCATGAATGGTAACAATGGCATGACAGATGCCTCAGGAAAGGCTTTTGCCTTCCCCAGGCATTGCTGAAGGAGACCCTGAGGAGCTAGAGCTGCAGCCACTGAACTGTTTAGGAAAGATTTTGGGGGCTAGGAGAGGATTCTGGTAATTCTTTCAGAGGAGTCCACTATCTGGGACGGTAAAAGTGCTGATTAAAGAAGATAGGTCTTGGAATGTCAAAGACTAAATCCTTCCCTTGGATAGAAACTGGGAGAAGCAGATCAGTGACATACCACCTTACTGATAAAAAATGTTCTGTGTAAGTCAGTGTACTTCATTCAAAGACAGGACTGCATAAAGTCATGTATCTGTTACTGAAGATGACCTTTTTTTGGGAAACCTGTTTCTGACTGAGTCATGCCAGAAAAAAAAAAATTTTCCAAGTCTTGCAGTCTGCATGGCAGCCAAAAACAACGTTGTTCCTGCCAGAAATCCCTGCACAAATATGCAAATATAGAGTTCTAATGACAGAAGACTGCTGAGACTCACCTCTGCACAATACTGTGGTAGCCTGGTGCTATATCATCAGTTACAGGCTGCAGGAAGACATTGGCATACCTGCGGAGCAAAGGAGTCCACTTAGTACCCTGTCCTTGCTGTTAAATATTTGTTTCATGCTCTCATGTTCATTTGTCTGCTACCAATACCAATATGATTCATCATCTGCCGGTACCAAGGCAGATGAGCCTCCGAGATGGGAGAGTGGAGACTTGTCTAGGATGAGTCACTTCTTTCTGCCAGTTCTCAAAATATCAAACTCACCTGTGATTAGCTGCTGCTCTCCAAACTAGCATGATGGCTTTCTTCCAGATCTTCTGGGCCTGTATTGCTTCCTGGTCCTCGCTGCACACTGAGCTGGGAAGAAAAGAATAGGGCTTCCTTCAGGAGTCTGCATACTGGCTTGGAGCAGAAACCTTGTGGTTTAGTTTATTTTGCCTTTGAGATGTCTATGCTAATCCACGCCAAAGACGGAAAGAAAAAAATGGGACCTGGTACTATGGTGCTGCCTGTATACTTGCACTTGTAAGCAAGGAGAACCAAATCATCAAATTCCCCCTTCAGACCCACTCAGTCAGCAAAAAAGAAACTAGAATCCTACGCTCCCTCCACAAAATAGTGTGGGATTCGCACCTGCGTGCCCAAGAGCTTCACTGATACTCACAACTGCGAGGAGGCTGGGCTGCTGGGGATGGAGTCGGCTAGCGTGTGAGACTGTAAAGGTGCATTATGGACACTGAAGCCATCATCGCTCTCACTCACAGGAGGTTCGTTATCCATCTCCGATAGATATCCCTCACCCTGATCTTCTTCTTTGGGTTCCTCCAAACTGGCAGCCTCACTGGCACCATCCTCATCGTCCTCTTCACCCTGCCCATCCTGAAACACAGAGAGTGTTCACGAGCCAGCTACAGCAGCAGCTCAGAGCCTCCAAAGCAACTATGGTTCTGCAAGCAAAGTGATTTTCCTGCTACAGCTGCTAACATACAGGCACTTTCACAAAATCCTACTCGCTCTACACTGTCCTGCCTCCCCTCACAGACACACACGTACACACAGCTTGCCTGCAGCAACCTCTCCTTTAGCTCCCTGCAGACTGCCCAATTCTCTTCTTGGTGCAGAAAGCTGAAAGCAAGCTTTGCTTTTCAGCAAATGGGAGCCAGGAAGCAGCACCAGCAGCGAGATGTTACTAATGAACCCAAGATGACTATAACCAACCCAGAATTACCTTAATCTGACTCCTAAACAGGGCTTGGGCCTCCTCCTTCATTGAGTCTGTGAAAGAAAGAAAAGCAGAAAGGTTGACTCTCCAAAGCAGTCTTTCCTACAAAAGCTCCTGCACCAATGCCTACTGTCCTGCAGTAATTACCACTGTTCCTACAAATATCTTTTCTCCCTCCTCCCCAAAAAACCTGAACCAGATCACTGACATCTATCCAGCTAATAATGTTGCATGTAAAAGATTTCCTAGCTGAATTAAGTTACCTGACAGCTCAAATTTGTGCTGAACATCAGCCTGTGAGGAGTCTTCACTCACATTTGGGACTTGTGGAGGGGATGAATCATCATCAGGTGGGGTCTGGAGGGAAGAGAAATGCACAAATCTAGATGTTTGTGTCAGCTTACTTCAGTGAAGGTGTGGGCACATCTCACTCACCCTAACCTAACTCAAGGCAGTGAAGTTCACTGAGCACCTTCCCAACAGCAATTCTGCACATGGGCGGGGGGAGATACACAAAAGTACTGCCTAAAGCAGAGAGCTTTTCTGCAGATCGAACAGATCAGCAGCATGACTCCCAAGAAAACAGTCAGTCACATTCATTGAAGGGTCACCTTCAACCCAGCAGTCATCATCCTTCCTCTAAACTTCTCTCCTACCTGCCACAACTGCTCTTTCCTTCCCCACACCAGTTCTAGACAGCCTCTCTGCTCACATACCTCTGTCTTCACTGTATTGTGCACTGCATCTTCTCCCTTGGCTGATTCTATCTCAATTTCAGAAGTATCTCCTGCTGCTACAGCTGCTCTTTGATCCTCTTCTACATCTTGACTTCTAAGCTCTGCTGTTTCCGTCACTCTTGCAGTTGCTGGTATGGTTTCCTCAGGGCCCAGCTGATTCTGCTCCTGCTCTGCAGGTTCTGTCTTTATTTCTGATCCCAGCTCGCCAATGCCCATTAGGTCTCGAATTCCCTTTGCCTCTGGCTCCTCGCACTCCAGTCTCTCCTGCTTCACAGTCACAGACACTTGGGGTATCTGGGCCTGTTTCTCGTGCTCCTGACGAATTGAGTGTTCCCACGGGCCAGGCAGCGTCTGAGGGTCATCAGTATCTTCGCAGAAAGAAGACAGAGCAGCTTCAACAACTGCTGCATCCAGGACTTCGGGGTGATCGTCTACCTTTATTGCCAAAACAAACACACAGCAGTGCAGGCCAAGGTCAGAAAGAGGGATTAAAATAAAAGTTCATATTATTTGGTAATGAGACAATTGTGGAAAACCCAATGTACTGGGTTTACAAAGTTGCCTTTCGCAGCCAGACTTGTATCACTCCCTGCGGAGTGTCCTGTGGAGCTTCAGTTTCAGAAATACAGCAGCACTCCTTTCAGAAATACAGCAGCACTCCTGGAAAGTATGCTGCGAGCAGCCCTTATTTGTCTGCCAGAGATGTGACCCAAACCCTACCCGACATGAGGAAGAAAGAGTTTTCTTTCTGCACTCTGAAGAGAAGCACCAGGCTAAACGTGGCAAACTAGCAGCAGCGGTGTCACAGGGTCACTTCCTATTGATCTGAACAACGATGGTGAGAATGTGCATTTTGGAATAGTTATTTCTTGCTTGTTTAAACTAACTAAATTGGTGAACAGTAATCACTTGACATTAACCTAACTGAATGTGGAGCAAAAGGCACTGGCACTCTGCTTTGCCCGTTTACCTTGTCCTCAATGATGGCTATAATATTTCCAACAGTATCGAAGTCCAGCTCTTCCCCCGTATAGGACACCGCAATATCCATTTTCTCAGCCAAATCCAGGTCTTCTTTCCCATCCATGCAGTGATCTTTGGAAGACCCTGCAGCGCTGCCAGCCCCAGAACCCAGGCACTCTTTCTTGATGGAATCAATGATCATGGATATTTCACTGCTGTCCATGGACACTGTCACAGTATGGGAATCAGACACTGCCTCCATGGAAACACAGGCTTCCGGCTGGCTCACTGCACAAGGATGAGAGTGACAATCAGAGACCAATCTGGAGAAGTCAAGCCCACATAAACAAATACTGCAGCGGATAAGATGAAGCACCAACCGCAAGTATCTCAGCTCCACCCACACCACCAAGGCTTAGAAAAATAAAAGACAAATACAGGTTTGCTTTCCCACAGTAGCAACAAAGTGAGGTTCCAGTCCTTGAACCCCAGTCCAGCAACATACCACTAGCACCCCCCGACCCAGCAAATCCTGTTTAAAACCATCGGTTTACTCCAGAACCCAGCCATAACCATGCTTTCAGCAAGGATGGCGAGTTTGAGGTAATAAAAGGCCAGCTGAGAGCTCGCTGGGTGCCAATCCCAAGGGAAGTTCTGCTTTCCAGCAGTACATGACCTACGAGTGCGTAGTTCAGGAACGCACCTGTGGCTACGCTTTCTGGAGCTGCAGCTGGTGGCACAACGGATGGTGCTGACAGCGTGGGCATCATGACAATGGTTGCCTGAGACACAGGCTCTACGGGGGGTGGCAGGAGCTTAGCTGGAGGTTCGCTGGCAACAGCGGAGAAGGAAGCAAGAGGTGAGGTGAACTGTGCAGGACCAGCTTCTAAAAGCCGGGAAAGCGTAGGAGCACCTAACAGAGAGTAGAAGGGAAAAGCACATGAGCAAGAAGCAGCCACCACTGAAGTCCACAAAGCCACCACTGGGCTCTTCACTGTCTGGTGGCTTCTTCTGGGAAAAGACACTGAGAGGTACCTATAAACAGTCCCAAAAGCTATAGGGAGAACCTGCACCTAAAATGCATGACTCCTTTGTCCGTGCAGTCTGAGATAGAATCATGTGGACTATGGGACACTGTGTTCAATGTAAAGGCTGGACAGGGTAAGCCACACCTGAAGAAAGATGCCTTTCCAAAGGCTCATCCCAATACAATTACGGGAAATCCAAAAACCAGTGCTGAGAGAGCCACACAAGGTAAGCCAAGATAAACAGTTATCACAGGAGCTGGAAGGGAGCAGAGGGGATCTCTTTGCAGGTCTTTCCTGGAGAACTCCTCTTATTTCAAAGGCTGCCACTCAGCTGTAACTTCCAGTCTGAATTCACTGAACTGCCTGGACCAAATCAACAGGTCTTAAAGAACAGACATGGATAAGGAAAGTGAGGTTATTCATACAGAATTATATACGAATGAATAGCATAACTCCTCAGTTCCAAACAATGTGATTAAACCACTGGTTAGTGTGAGCTGAGAAGAAATTTCACCATAGGCAGGTTGTTCTGAAAAGGCCCAATGCAAAGACTCCTGCACTGTCTCTCTCACCCCCTGCTCTGTGGAACTTACTCTGGAGCTCACAGTCCAGTGTGGTCTAATCCTCAACAGACCTCTAAGCTAAAGCAGAGGTAAGACACACAAGTTCCCAGATTCACAGGGAGCTGCAGTTTGACACATTGGGAACTGGATACTGGACCTATTTCCCCAACTCCCTGTCAACTAACCCTTTGCTTCTACACTGAAATGCCTGGTATTAGCCAGTGTCAAAACAAGAAAACTAGACTGCACGGACCAGGATCGAATCAAGTCTAATTGTTTCAGTCATTTTAGATCAAGGCACTCTTTTTTCTGTAAGGATTAGGATCTTAAAAAAAAGTAGGGGTGAGAGGGACGGGGGTACAGAAATAGGAATACAACTTGTAAAGAAGCCCCAAAACCAGCCAGGCTAGATGTCCTTCACCTCTCTCCAAAGAGAATTCATAGAACAGTCTGAAGGTATATCTGAAGGGAGAACTGTACAGGGAGAGTCCCGAGTTACCTGAAGCAGCAGGAGATGCAGGGACAGCACCAGGTGCCGACTGCATTTCCCCGCTGTGCAGCACTGGAAGGACGCTTCCTACCTCCAGCAGGACTCCTGAGCTGTTCATGTGACCAGAAGCCACTGCCATTTCGTTTTCACCAACCTGCCAAAGGAGGACACAACTGAAATTCCTGGACATACCACCACATCAGTGATTCTCTGCCCAATATGCACCTCCAAGAATATGTCCATCATTTGCTGCCTCAGCATTTCTTCTGCACTTTTTGTCCAGTCTAGTCCCTGCCTGAGGCCCTGTATACAAGTGCACAACATGACAGTCGGAAGCTAGTTGTTGTTCTTCAGCTACAGTACAGCTGCAGTGCCACCTTCCTGTGGAGTGAGGCCAAATACATCATTTGCTCTACCTTAGTTCCTCTGTTCAAGGACCTCACAATCCTTCACAGATACCAGCCTCTCTATCCTCTGAGATGGCAAGGAATTATCCCTTTTTTTCAGCTGAGGGAAACAGAAGCACCACAATGGAAAGTAACTCTATCAAGGTCACAGAGTAAACCTATGATGGACCTTGAAGCAGATATAAAACAGTCCTGTTGACACAAAGAAAACCCACTCTGCCACAGCCATTACCTTTCCTTGCTCCACCCTATGTTACATCGCACCCTGCCAACACAGAACCCATGGAGCATTTACCCTAGCTAACAAAGAGAAAAGATCCCAAATCTGACTATCAAAAAAAAGCAAGTCAACAGCAATACACCTATTCCATCACACAAGCACCAACACAGGGAACCTGTGCCACGGGCAGGCTGATGGCTGCTATTTTCAGACTGGGCTCTGAATGCTGTCAGCAATGGTCAGCCTCCTCAGACTTCCAGAGTCACCAACACCAGAAGTGGGTTGTCATCACGGTGATTTTAGTAACTGTCTACAATTAGGAGAAAACTGAAGCACTTCAATATTGGTCATAAACCCCATTAAAGGACTCCCTACTCCCATGCTAAGACCCAAATATTGAAACTCAACTTCCTGCAAGATGTAAAGACAAACTGTGAGCCCAAAGTAGAAATCATGAAGAACACCTTCATGGAGGCTGATCAGGATGCTGCTGACTAACATGCTCCCTCCCTGCAGGAGAATGATTTCCTTTAGCAAAGCCTGCAACTCCAACTCCTCACGACTGAGGGGGAATAGCCAGTCCTATGTGCTGAATGATCCCCGCAGTCCCGCACCTACAGCACTGCTGGGAAAGGGTCCCACCTCTGTGGCTCACAGGGGTAATTATATCTCTCAGATATCACTTCTGTTGGGACTCTCACAAAACTCTTATGTTTTTAAAAAGCCTTTGCAGCTCCCCCTTTTTCAGTGGGAGAGTCTGGAGCAAATTGTTTGTGTGGTTGCATATACGAGCAGAGAGCTCCATACCAGCCTGGGGCTTGTGGGCAGGAGACTGCCCTTCTTCAGCAGCTCTGAGAGCAGAGGGGAAGGAGGCGGAGTTGCTTTTTGTCCTAGCATCTTTTTCTGGGGTGAATCATCAGTGACTGGGGTCATGGGGGCATCCAGGGGAGCAGAGCCTGGAGGGGTGTCAGGGATTCCAATGAAGGAGGCAACTGGGGTGCTGGGCAATGTCCCTGGAGTGACCTGAGAAAGAGAAAAACCACACTGTTCAAAGCCACACTCCACCACACGGACTAGCCCCACTTGCTCCTTCCCCCAAGAGCATTGATCCAGCACACCACAGACACCTACTCCATTCACTCACTACACCTACTCCAGGCATATGCTTTCACCCTTTCCCTGCCCTGTAGCGCCATTTCCCAGGCACACACAGAAGACTGCCTGGCCAACCCAGTGACGCCCCTACGTAGCCTTTGATCCAGGCACCTGATCATCACAGACATGGAAGAGGACACGTATCTCGAGCAGCACTGTACATCAACCACACTACAGCACTACCACAGCAAAAAGTCTGCAAAACAAGGCAAGGGCTTCTCCCCAGTCTCCTTTTCCATGACGGACGCAGAGCCCCATGTCCCAAGCTGGTCTTTCCCTCTTACCGTGAGAAGGATCCTTACCCCTGGACTGGCCTCATCCACAGCGGGCTGAGACAGATCTCCCAGAGCATAGTCTCCCCCTGGGGAGGTGGAGCCTGCAGGGGAGCGAACCATCACACCCGTTAATCGTCGTGGTGGATTCTTAATGGCCTGACGAGCTGGAAGAGAACAGAACAAAAAGTGAGATTCCTTGACTCCATCTTGGACAGTCTCCCAGCGTTACCTCTGACTTCATCCTAAAGAACCCCAAGAAAACAGTTTATATTGTAGGAATTTCTTGCACCACACTAGGCTCAGTAATGCCCTTTAATTTCAGACTTCTGTAGCAGTTGGGTATTCACCACCTCCCACCACTGGCAGATTAGTTCACTGAATTGCCCCAAGAATTAGAAATGAATTAAACATTCAGAACAAATCTCTCTTCCTTTTATCTTCAGACAACAGTAAAACTATAGGGAAAACTAAAGGGGTGAAAAGCCTGACATTCTAACGGAGAGCTCCTTGCTAATCCTGCTTCCTCTTAGATATACCTTTCCTACAGAATTGGTTCCCTTCTGAGAAGTCTCTGCATTTTGCCCCGTTACAAACACAGTGCTGGAAAGAGAATATAATTCTCCTTTCCAACTCCTAGGGTCAAGGAATTCCTGAACAGGTTTTAACAACACTTAAATATTTCCCAAATGTTCTTATGAACATAAGCATCTCTCTCTGAGGAGGAGGAAGTAAGCTCATTTCCAGCTTACCCTGATAAGCAGCATCTGTAGCCTTCCTCTTCACTTCTGCCTCCTCCTCCTCCATTTTTTTCTTTCTGTATATGGAACCAAAACCTACTGTCACACAGTGTCCCACTTCCCCTTAGTTCCTCCCGCAGCTTACTGCCCCCCACCCCGTTATCTCCAGACAACAATGTCCTGCCTCTGCGGACTCAGGCTCAATTCCGCTGAGGAGGGAAGTAGTTGGAGGCCAGAGAACCACACACTGGGCAGGAAATTTCACATCCAGCCGATTATCAAAACGAAGGAGGCAAGCAAGCCATCATCAAGCTCTTCACTGAGAGACTCCAAACGATGTTCCACACAAGCTGGTGCCCCCCAGTCTAAACTAAGCCCACCCTCAGAGGCCAAAGCATCTGCCCAGCTGCCCTGTTTCTCTTAACCCAATGTATGCAGAGCAAGAGGTGTCTGACAAACACATGGCTTCAGGCAACTACAATCTCAGAAGAAAGCGTAACATGGAAATAATGAAATAACCCACATCATGATCTCATTGCACAGCTCCTCCAGTCTGTTATCCATGTGTCCAGCCTGGATCAGCTCTGCATCCTTCTTGAGTTGCCTGTAATCAGAAAATCTTCTTACTTACTTACTTATCACTGAACAACATGCCCCAAGCATCACCCCACTTAGGCCGCTTTTTCAAGACAGGACTCTCAGGTGTGCCACAGCTTAATGCCTCTGCCACATACCTGTATTTCTCCTGCGTTTCTTTAATCATTTTCTTCAACTCCTCAACTCGTTCTGCAGTCAGTTTCCGTACAATAACATCTTCCACAGTTTCCACAACTTCTCCCTTCTCGCCACGTTTTCTCCTGTAGAGTAAGAGAAAACCAAAACAGTTCAGACATGAAACACAGAAAACCCCAGTTCTCCTTTCATAAATGGCTGCTGTCTGTCATCCCTGACACAAACATGCACCAAAAAAAAAAAAATCAACCTCTTCCAATTTCTCTTAAGTGATACTGGACAGCACAATGTTCAAACAAACTCTTCTGAAGTTTATCTAATTCTTAAACACACCCAGTGTTAAAGATTTCAGGAATAGATTAAAGATGCAAGCCCACTGCAAATTCTCAACCTGAAAAAAACCCAATCACTCAATTTCAGAGAAGCTTCTTACTACCCATGAAAAAACATCTATTTTTCTTCCTCAGTAAGTCCACTAAGTCCCGTGTCTTTGCAACTCTAGTGCTGAAGATAATCCAGCACCCTCACAAACAAATACTACTTTTAAACATCCTGCCTTTAATTTCATTTGATGTGAATTCTCAAAACAAAATGCCTGGATTTAGGAGTGAGAAATCTGAGACCACAAAGCTGTAGCGATAGCATTGATAAAAAAAAAAGAAACCACTGCCAAAGAGACAAATACAAAACGTTTCCCCTTCTCACTCTTGCTGTCTTTTCTACCCCTGTTCTGAAGGATAATTTTATGTGTAAAGCTTCTGATCAGTAAGACTAATACGCAGAGTTTTATTCCAGCCAAATAAACGTTTCTTTTTCCTGCATTGTCTCCAAATGCACACTGGAACTCTTACAAATGGAGCTGTGGCAAAGAGACCCTGATTACCCTGCCACGTATTGTAACGACAGTAGGCGCACATGGAAGACACTGACAAGTACAGAGTGACCAGTTTTAGAACCATGTAATACTGAAATACCTGGGTCTTACGAAAAAGGGGAGACAAGATAAGGAAATATGGGAAGCATGTTCTAATACCTTGGGCCTGCCTACCTCCCCCCTCTGCCATACTCTGGTCCCAATGTCCACAACAGAATCTCCTCATTCCTGTACGCTCCTTTTGGGAGGAGCACTATCAAGTCCTTTGCTGTAAGAACTGACGAGTCCACCCAAAATTGCTGCAGACTGCAGCAAAAAAATGAGACTGCACTCATTTCAGACTTTGTACTCACTTAGGGGTCTCCGTAGTCTCCAAGAGCTCCGAATACTGAGATGCACAGTGCTAAGAAGAAACAAAGAAAGTTAGAGGACACCAAAGAGTTGGCTTCAGCAAACACCTATCAACAAAGCCTACAGCACACTTATTCCTACTTCTTCAGAGGTCTCATGTGTTACAAACGTATCTGACAGTCTTCCCCCATGGCTATAATTTAACGCAGCTCAAAGTGAGGAAGCATATTCACTCTTTTACTCTAGCACTGCCCAGGCTGATCTTCAAAACAAAGCCAAAGAACAGATGCTCCCCAACTAACAATTCAGAAATCAAAGCAAACAAGCATGATTAAGAAAACGGTAGCTGTAATGTTTCTATCTGCGAACAGGAACCAAAATATTTCAATGGAGAAGACAAAATAACATTATCTCAAGGCCAGTTTCATAGCTTAACAGAAACAGTAAGCAACACAGAAACCCCAACATCTCTGCCCTTGATTGTCTTCATCTCTTTCAGTCCCTTATACAACAAAAATCTCAGGCACTTGCCCAAACAGCAGGACACACCAAAATATATGGGCATTCAGACATTCCTGGGGCAAGGAATTCCATAGTTTAATTACATGCCCGGTAAAGAACAATCTCTTTAGCTTTGCTTTGAACATGCCTCCTGTTAGTCTTACTTAATAGCCTCTAAATCTTGTATTGGACAAAGCACTGAACAATTAATCCTTGTTCATTTTCAACATGCCACTTCTGATTGTGCAGATATCTGTCATATTCCTGTTAGTCATCTCTTTTTTATGTTAAGGGTTCTACCTTACTTAGCCATCCCTTCATGTCTTTGATCATCCTTATCTTTTCCTTAACTTTATCCAACTGTACTCTAAGCTCAAATTTAATTTCCAAAACAGGGAAAAGTATTTAATCTGATTTAAATAAAACTTATTTTTTAAAAAATTAATTTCTCTATCTTTTTTAAAAACAAGAAATACATTCTCTTAGGCAGCCGTCTCACATATCCCATGCAGAATTCATTTTTTCCAAGATTCAGATGTGAGTATCTTACCTTTTGGGAAAACCAGTCAGGTGGGCGTCCTGGCTCTGCAAAAGGTTTGATAGCTCTGCTGACTGAGACCCTACAGGAGAGAAACGGCAAGTCACTGCCAACTTATTTTCTTCCCCAACCAACATTCTGACCTGCTTTGACATTCACCATTGAAGAGCCCCCTCTGAACACAATGAACTTGCCGAGGAGTTGTTACGTTTGGGAATTATTCAAGTACAGCCCTTAGACTCAAAAATATTTGCCTGCTCCTAATAAAAAAGCAGCTTTACTCCCTTGCTTTTTAAAGCAAGTTTCTAGCTTCTGACGACACCATTACATTTCCACAAAAACCTAACTTTGGTGAGGGGAAGAAGGCAGCAAAACAGAGCTACAAGTTCAGAAGCAGTGCACAGGAACGTGTTATCAAATATCCTTCCTGGCCATAACTCACCTCTTCCAATTTATGAACATGTCACTCTTTGTTCTGATTAACACGCTTCTGTTTTCACGCAGTAGTTATGACAGAAGCAAAAAGACTGTCAGCGTACGCCTCTACTACCTCCACCTCCAACAGCCCCATCCTTGTTGCGAGCAGAAAGCACACAGAAAGCAGAAGTGGTTCCGAGTAGCTGTCGCCCAAGGAAGCGGCGGTGTGAGCAGCCGCGCACCGGTACAGCACACAGCCCGCCCACACCCGAAGGCAGAGCGGCGCCGGG